CCCCCCCCCCCCCCCGGCTCTTGCCAGGGGAAATGCTAGATCTAGGCAGAGGCACTGGAACCCCGCGATGGTCATCCTCCTGCAGTAAGAGCATGACTCGTCCACAAACGCTGCCTCAGCGTGCTTAATGCCCAGACACGTGAGGCAGCGATCGTGACCATTGCCCGGTGCCAGGTAACGACCGCATCCAGAAACGCACGGGTGGAAAGTCATCTTTAAAAAGACGCGACTTTTAAAAGACGTCCACCCGTGAATGCTCTTTTAGAAATTGCTCTTTTAATGTGCTGAAGCGCACAGAGGAGATGGCCGCTTGCAACACAAATGGGGGGTAGTGCAGCCTGATGTGTGCAACCCACTGCTTTCCGCCAACACGAGAGCTCTAAAGAGCGTGCTGAAGCGAAAAGCTGAGTATGCTTTGCACCTGCTGCCTAGTTATACTCACGTTGCGATCGGCAGCAGCTGGATGCAATCATCGCATGCCAATGTGCATTGGCTCGTTTAGTTTACACTCAAAGTGGATAAGCGAGATCCCAATTCATTGGTCACTGACGTGACACGGAGTAACCGACTGTAAGGGAACTACTTGGCACAAGGTGATTGGTTCATGTTGTATACGCAGCCAATGAGCTTACTGCTTTACATTTAAATGGCTTGTTAGCATTCACTACAGCAGTTCGCAGCACGCTTTCAGAGTTCCTTTGAAGCCCCCCACCTTCCCCAGCTCCACCTGTATAGATCTGCTACAGTTATTATATATGTTATTTGTGCAGCAGCAGTATGTTTTTAATACTCACAGCACTGTATCAGCGTATGAATTGGCAGTAGTAAGTTTCTGTACTTGCTTTGCAGCAGCAGCAGCAACAGCAATAATCTACAACAACAGCAATAAGCAGCAGCAGCAGCGTATTACATCTATTCCGCCAAATACATTAATTGTCATATCCATTACCATGCTAAAATCTTCAGAGAGTTGGCATGATAGAACTATTTTTAGTAACTATTCTATTTCAAATAAATGTTCTTTTGAATTTTCTATTCATCAAAGAATCCTGACAAAAAAATCAGATTCCACAAATATATGAAGCAGCACAACTGTTTTAAACAACATAATAACAAGAAATATTTTTCACATACCAAATCAGCACATTAGAATGGTTTCTGAATGATCATGTGACACTGAAGACTGGAGTAATGGATTCAGCTTTGCCTTCATAGGAATAAATTACATTTTAAAATATATTCAAATAAATCACTTATTTTAAATTGTAATAATATTGAGCAATATTAGTGGTTTTACTGTAGTTTCAATCAAATAAATGCAGCCTTGGTGAGCATAAGGGACTTTTTTCAAAAACAAAAAATCTTATTGGCCCCAAACTTTTGAACTGTAGTGTAGATCTTTATACTTTAAATACCCTTACCAGTTTGACTAACAATCACACAAGCTTTGGTCTCTTGTAATGTGTTTTAGGTGAGACGGGAGCCATGGTGTCCTCTACTCTCAAACTTGGCATCTCCATCCTCAATGGTGGCAACAGTGATGTTCAGCAGGTCAGCTGATTGTACTCTCTCTATTAGTATAAGTAATATACCTGTGTAATTTCTTAAATGAAGTTACCATGCTAAGCTTAGCAGATTAAATCAAAGCAACATTGACAAAAGTGTCTTGATGTCTTGTGACAGAGGATGTTGGACTACCTGAAAGACAAGAAAGATGTGGGCTTCTTCCTCAGCCTACAGGCTCTCATGCAAACCTGCAGGTACATGGCCGTCACTTTCTTTTATTTTATTGTTAACTTTAAAATTATAAGTATTATTTCTTTGATAATTAAATTGAACTATAGTAATATTTGCAACAAAAAGTGTCTTCTGCAGTGCTGACTATAGGTATTTGGCAGACTGTAGATGTATGATATAAATATGGCGTTTTGTTTGTTGACAGTGTTTTGGATCTGAATGCGTTTGAGAGACAGAATAAGGCAGAGGGTCTTGGGATGGTGTCAGAAGAGGGCTCAAGTGAGTCTAACATCACTGAGAACATCACATAGATTTGCATCCTCCGATCTCTCACCTTTTTAGTGATTAGTTTAGGACCTATTCACACTATATCTGAATTTTCACACTATATCAGCATTTTCAGCATGAAAAATTCAAAACATTTACAACAGGATTTAAATGAGAACAGGAGTATATACTCCTCCATGCTGATTAATCATACTACTGTATGATGATCTGTTTACTCACTGCCTCTCTCTCTTTCTCCCTACCACCATCACTCCATTCCCAACCTCCCCGTATATGCCTCTCCTCTCTTTCTTGTTTTTCAGACATCAAGCTAGAACGTGGTAAATAATCTTGTCTCTATATATTTATCGTCACTCCCTCTTTCCTTCTGTCCCATCTTACATTGTGAAGATCTCCTTTCGTTGGCGTGTAGTTTACCTGCATTTCATTTCGCGCTCAAGGGAACTTAAAAAAGAACTCTTCAGTCATTGCAAAGGTTTTGGGGCAGCCAACTCCTTTACGATTCTTATAAAACGATAGATGGATTCCACATTATGTAACTTTAATGCAATTCTTCTGTTTCCAGAGAAGTTTTCTTATACAGCTTGTCCTGTTATATGCAATGGCTGTAAAGATTCTTTGCACTTTGCCCTTGAGTGCTCCCTCACAGATCTACTGTAACTCCAGCATTCACTGACTGATTGATAGGAAAGAAAGATATTTGTCTTTTCTTTTCTGATCAGTTTTCTCTGAGGAGATCACAGAGAACTGTGGCGACCAGTGTCACCAAAACCATGAAATGATTTGCAGATTCAGGAAACTTTATCCCCTAAAATGAGCCATCTAGTAGTGCTGGGCGGTATACCAGTTCATACCGAATACCGGTGTTTATTTTTGTTATGATATGAATTTTTTAAATACCGCAATACGCTTATGTCGCTTAAACAACTATCGGAACGGGACACTGTTTGAAAGGGCTCCCTTTTCACTGTCGCACTGTGGTGAGGGAACAGCGAGCATTTCAAAGTGAATATCTTAAAGGGTTAAACAGGCCTACAGATTAATGGAAGCAATTGAAAGTTTAAATTAACAGTTTGCTGATTTAACATTCATTCATGCTTTAAAGTTGACTTGACTTATATCCTAGCCAGTGCATCCTGAAACTGGCCAAAATGTAATGCATGATTTCTATGACAACATTTTTTTTATTAATTAATTATGATTACAACAGTATTTTTATTAATTATTACACTTGAATTAAATGATATTGTAATTGACAATACATTTACATAAGTTAATTATTTGAATTGTGTTTTAATGACATAGCAGGGCACTCATAAAGATGTAACCAGTGTGTTTTTTTTTTTATTCTAATTTCTATGTTTTGGTGATTTGAAGTTTTGTGACACATGTTTTAATTGTTTCAATGTTTTTTTTTTTTAGCTAACCTCGTTTCCAGATACTCACTCTCAGACTGATATATATTGGGCACTAAATCTGTGTGATGTGTATTAAATGTATTACTTCCCATTTTTTGACATCTTTGAATGTATTTTATTCAGAAAAAAAAGGTAAATTTTTATAAGATAATAATTTTTTCCCCCACACAATGCTATTTTTCATGTTTTTCTTATTAGTCTTACTCTTGTCAAATAGCGTCTTATTCCATCACATGTGCTTCGTAGCACATTACTCCGGCTCATCTCTCCCTTCCACTTCTCTCCCACACCTCCAGGAGTGCAGTAGATCTATTTTGCATGATTGTGTGTCTATGTGCTGTTTTTTGACCAAAACTCTTCTCCATTTGTGTCCTTCATGAAGAACTCACTGTGTAGTGTGTCATTTCAGTGTCGGTTGCGTTTATCCATGTTCCATGTCTGTTATATCACTGTGTATTTCCGTACACGATGACGTTTCCTATCAGTTAGTGTACAGTATAAATGTTATAAATGTCCCTTCAAAGTGACTGTATTTTCAATGTGTGATCTATCAGACTGTATGTGTGTGTGTCTACTAGTGTTGCCATTCTGGGAGAGGGGAGGGCTTTAGTCTGTGGATTCAATGTGGACATCAGGTCTCTGCCTCCCCTTTCCACGTTTGCTGGTCTGCTCTGCAGTGAACAGCTAAACGGATGTGCCACAGCAGGTCGTTGTGGTTCACTAACATGCTAATAGCTGGGCTGGAAGTGCTGTGAAGTGGTTATACTCACAGAACACAGACACCCTAATCACCCTGAATAGTGAAGGGATAGTTCACCCAAAAAATGAAAATTATGTCATGATTCACTCACCCTTGTCTCGTTCCAAACCCATATGCTGTTATTTTTTTCTATAAAACAAAAAATTGATAAAAGATTGTGGTCAATAAAAAATATGCAGAGATTATTCCGAAATTATTCAAAAAGGATGCATTACATTGATCAAAAGTGACTGTGAAGACATTTATAAAATGAAAAAGATTTGTGAAACTTTCTATTCATGAAAAGTCCTGGGAAAAAATGCATTATGGATTCCAGCACAAACATTTTCGCCAATAATAACAATAAGAAAAGTTTCTTGAGCAGCAAATCAGCATATTAGAATGATTCTAAAGGATCATGTGACACAGAAATATATAAAAAATCAAAACGGTTATGTTTAACTAATAGTATTTCACAGTTGTACTGTTTTACTCTATTTTAATCAAATAAATAGCATTTGTGAGCATAAGAGGCTTCTTTTAAAAACCGTTAAAAAATCTTACTAACCCCAAACTTTTGAATGGTTTTGAATGATGCTACATGCTGTAAAAAATTTATACAAGTAGTTCAAACCTATATACTAATATCTTCAATATGTTAGTATACGTATATCAATATACTATATTATATACTATCTACCATATCAATATTCTAAGTATAGTTCAAATCTATTAACATATTTACTGACATATTGCTTGAGACTTACTGATATAAAAATTATAATTCAACTTTATTTGGAATACTACTTGTGCACAATGCACATTTCTTGATATTAAGCCTAAAATATGTTTTAATGTCACAGCTGATGAGGATTGTGTGATCTTTGAAAAACATCAGTCTTTAAATGCAAAATGTAAACTTGCAGTAGTTCCACTTCAGCACAATCAAATATACTTCAGTATGTCTTTAGCTGGACTTCAGCACTACTTCCGCACAATTAAAGTGCATTAAATACAAAATTAGTTTTTTCAGTTTAGCTGACTTTAGGTATACCAGATTAGTCTACTTAAAGTGCAATTGCAGGGTATTAAGTACATAAATATGATGATGTATTTTCAGTATACTTAGCATGAAATAAATGTATTTCAAATGTATTTTAATAAATGTATTTTTCACTAGGGTATTATATTTTTTTGAACAAAATTCTAAACTTCCCTTCTGCCGGAACTCAGATGACATGGAAAATAGCATATGGGTTTAAAATAACACAAGGGAAGTAAACAATGACAGGAGTTTTATTTTTGGGTTAACTATCTCTGTAATATAAAAAAGAAAAGAAAATTGTACATCTGCATAAAAATGGTCTGGTCATATTCCTATCTATTTTGTCATGTTTTAGTTCACAAATTAACCATTTTAGTCTTTGAAATTAATTGTAAAAACAATGTATGTCTATTAATTCACCACTTTATTTTGCATTTAGAGGTCTCTAGTGTAGTTCCAACTCTCATACAGTAAAGCACTGTTCAGGAGTTCTTCACGCACATTCATGCTGTGTGTATGTGTGTGTCCCTGTTTAGAAGAGAAAGTGATGGCGGATGATGAATTCACTTGCGACATTTTCCGCTTCCTGCAGCTGCTCTGTGAAGGCCACAACAACGGTGAGCTTCCTGAGATGTCCACCACTTCTGTAGTGTTTGAAGAGAAAATCATGGAATCATAAAAAGATGTGTTCCAAAAACATGAACATCTCAGTTAAAGTTTTGCCTTTAGCCCTTGCCTTTACATATACACTGTATCAATTTAACTTTTATTCACCAAGGACAAATTAAATTGATCAAAATTAACAGTAAAAAATACTTTTAAAATGTAAAAATAATTTAAATTTTTTTTTAAAAAGTTCACATTCAACATTGTGTTCATCGAAGAATCCTGAAAAAAAAATTGTATCATGGATTCCACGAAACTAATAAATGACATTTTATTAGATTATTTTAAAATGTAATAATATTTCACAATATTACAATTTTTTGCTGTATTTTTAATCAAATAAATGCAGCCTTGGTAAGCACAGTGACTTCTTTCAAAAGCATAAAAAATCTTACTGATCCCAACCTGGTAGTGAAAATGTGTGAAATGCCTAATTATTTAAAAAAAACAGCTGGTTTTGCATTACCGTCTTTCTCCAGATTTCCAGAACTATCTGCGCACACAGACAGGCAGCACAACTACGATCAACATCATCATCTGCACAGTTGACTATCTGCTCAGACTGCAGGTATAGCTTCATCTCGCCTTTCTTCCTCTACATATACTAGCACCAAAAATATTTGGACACTTAAAAATGTGTTAATGGCATTGCGTTTGAGAACAAGAAAACAAATAAAGTGAATTTTTGTCCTCACTCTGTCTTCTGTTCTGTCTCAGGAGTCTATCAGTGACTTCTACTGGTATTACTCTGGGAAGGATATCATTGATGAACCAGGCAAGAGAAACTTTTCTAAGGCAATGACGGTTGCTAAACAGGTTTTCAACAGCCTGACAGAGTATATCCAGGTACTGATGTCACCACTATATGCAGTCGAGCTCTTTCAAACTGGCAAATTTCCATCTTTAACATAGTTTATCTTTTTTTTCACCATAGGGTCCTTGCACTGGTAATCAGCAGTCTCTGGCTCACAGCAGATTGTGGGATGCAGTGGTGGGCTTCTTGCATGTGTTCGCACACATGATGATGAAGCTAGCACAGGTAGGAACACACATTGAGCACAGACTCACCCCTAACGTGACTGATAAATCTTATTATATTGATCAATTTTATTGCACCTAGAAGACCCCGGATATTTCTTGGAAAGGTTCCATCGACACTGAATCAGTATCATCTGTATGTTGGTTTATTTTGACATTAAAATACTTGTCACTGAGTTTTGCCTAATTTCAACAGCTTTACACAGAGGAAATCAGAGAAAAAAATGCATTATTTTTTTTTTTTTTACGTATTGCTGCCAAAAAATGTTTGTGAAAGTGTTTTTAAGAGCAGGAATATTTGGAAGTGAAATGTTCCAAATGTACAGTTTTATAGTGTTTAACTTGCATTGAGCTTATAATTTGTGCAACAGAATAGAAGTCAAATGCATGTCATACATGTACATACTTATATATTCTATATAAGTATGATCAGAGTAGATTAATAAGGAATATTTTCTCTGTTTTGGAGGTTGCATTTTTTTCTCAGTACTAATGTTTAATTATGCATAGTCTAATTAGTTAATTAATTAAAATCTCTTTTATTTAATACTTGTTTTAATAAGTTACTGATCCATTTACTAATTTGGGGTTGACTGTGGTTATTAACTCCCTACCTGTTTGGTTCCTACCTGTTTATATCGTAATAGAAGAAACCTTGGTAACACTTTACTTGAAGGGGTGTGCATAAGACTGACATGACACCTTCATAATCATGACATGACACATGTCATGAATATGAAGGAGATTTTATGCATGTTTATGACAACTGTCATTAAGTGTCATTCGCTCAGTTATGTCATTTTTAATGCAAATATGACATTATTTGACCTAACCCTACCCGACCCTTACCCCTAACCATAGCCCATCACAAAGACATCTCAAACAATGTCATCTTTGCATTAAAAATGACATAACTGAGCGAATGACACTTAATGACAGTTGTCATAAACATGCATAAAAAACCTTCATATTCATGACATGTCATGTCATGATTATGTAGGTGTCATGTCATGATTATGAAGGTGTCATGTCAGTCTTATGCACACCCCTTCAAGTAAAGTGTAACCGAAACCTTATTGGCGTTATTAAAACATAGTATTGGAGTATTAAAACATATAAGGAGAATGGGGCCAGTTTTACTGAACAGGGCAAGTTCCAAATGCAATTCCAAAACAGTGCTGATGGGTGTGGAAAATTCTTGAAGGGGGATTTGCTAACAAATGCACAAATTAAAGAACACAGAGGCAACATCTCATTTACATATCGACCAACGCAATATACCAAGTGCAGCGCAAATTAGCGTAGTCGCAAATAAAGAATAAATAAATAAATAAAGACGCCACAGTACGTTGAAAAGAACCGGAGGCCAAAAAATGAAGGGTTGCGAGACGTTTTGACGTGACTCCCAAGCGGCAACCTCCCGCTCTCTCTCGTGAAGCCAACACGGAACTGACTAAAACTGCAATTCATCGACTGGCCGCTAGAGGCTGGCTCCAAAAGAGAGTCAGTCCCATACACTCTTATAAATAAAGGTGCTTCACGATGCCATAGAAGAACCTTTTTGTCTAAATGGTTCCATAAAGAACCTTTAATATCTGAAGAACCTTTCTGTTTCACAAAAGGTTCTTTGTGGCGAAAGAAGGTTCTTCAAATTACAAAAAGTTAAGAAAGAGATGGTTCTTTGTGGAACCAAAAATGGTTCTTCTATGGCATCACTTGAAGAACCTTTTGAAGCACCTTTATTTTTAAGAGTGTAGACTGCCCATGTTAAAATGCCCAACTTTACAGCAGAAAAAAAAGTTTACAGCCTGGTACAAAAAATGATTTTGGTCTATATAGCTAATTTTGCCCTTCATGACAACTGTGAGGGGGGTGAATTTTTTTATAACTCATCCGTTTAAATTATATTAAGCCTTAAAGTTCTGCATAATTAAGGGTGTGGCCTCTTGAGTGACAGGTGGATTGCCGCTGCTGTCACCGCCGTCGAGCTAGGTGGGCGTGGTTTCAGCAACCAGCTCCCGCCTCTTTGCCCATTTTCGATTATCCGGGAGTGACGCGCTGCCAAGATGGCGACGGCCCGCTCCACCCACTTTGAGGTTCAAAACCGCTCTTCAGAAACCAACGGGTGGCGTCACGGACACTACGTCCATGTTTTTATACAGTCTATGGTGACTCCTAGTTGAGGGTTCCAAGTCATCTTTTATTTTCTGAAGCAAATTAAAAATAACATGACCTGGCAAACCATATGTTCAGAGAATGTGTTCTTCTGGCATTCCAAATAAATTAACACATGTGGAAAAATCCTCTCTCTTCTACCATGCGCTCTCTGTTCTCTGCGGTGCCTTCTCCTAACAACAACAATTGCAGCCATGTCAAGTGCAAAATAGTTCAAGACATGCTTTTTTTGTTTTCGTTAAATAATGGCGCAAATACCAGTAATTTGACGAGCGCAACTTTCGTAAATCACATTACGTGATTCATTTGAACACTCTCCTCCCAAAAAATGTGCGTCTGAAAGGGAAACTCCTACAAATGCATATTCAATAATGTCAGGTGCAAAAATAACTGTCCACGCCTTTTCAGTGCTAATTTATTACTGCGTGTCTTTTGTAAATCCTGACTACTATTTTAATGCCAAAAGACGGTTTGCACTGGTGCAAACTGATAGTAAAACTGACCCTTGGTTGTTACATTTCTTTAGAGTATCATATATTTTATGGCAAGTTTTTCTAAAATGTAACTAAGATTTTAATTGCAGTTTAAATAGAGTAGAATTTGTCTGATTGTGTCGTTTATCGGTTTATTGGTTGATCGCTATTTCCAAACTTGATTATAGTGATTATCGAATGGATTGTATTTCACACTGTTGTTATTCTATTATATAAATGTTTAGTCCAGTATTGCCACTAATCCATGAATGTGGAACATGTTCACAGTGTGACGTGAATGTTGATGCTCTAGTAATCTTTAATCATGCGTTGTTTCTCTTAACCTCTCTGTTGTGTTGTTGGATTTTGTTCTGTGTGTTACACATCTGGTACCTGTGTACTGCATTTTTGTATTTCTTAAAATTGAGAATCTCTCCCACTCTCTCAGGCTTCAAAAATGTGAATATGGCTGATTTACCTGTCTCCAGTCTGTGCCCACCTGTTAAAGTTGGTTTGTAAAAAACAAAATTGACACGGTTGTGTTTTATAATATAGGTGAGGCCCACAAAAGGCCAACTTAATTGTAATGAGCTTATTTTTTTCAACTAAACTTACTTCATTTTAATATTAAACAGCTTTGCCCTGTTTGTCTGCATAAGTAGAAGTGAAAGACCATAAAAACAGACAAAAAAAATGGAATGAGTGAATATATCTAAGAGAGTGGGAGATACAAAATCAATACAAAAATGTATTAAAAATGTTGATGGGTAACATTTTTATTCTGATGTGTAACCCTGCCAGATGCACCCTGACCCTGGACTCCGAAATGGCGTAAGGATCTTTGTTTTTGCTTCCATCTTACGCACTTGTGCACTGCTTTCCACACACGTACACAGTACACAGAACAGTTTCTTCTTTGCTTCCTGTTTCCGTTGTATTGCTTATGTGTCGGCACGTTTTCTGCAAGTGTTTTCACTTGCATTTTCTGTCATGTACATTCCCTCTGTCCCCACTTAACCTTGTTGGGTTTATTTTTGATATACTGGAGCTGAGGGAGATGTCACTATGCCATGTTCCTGCTGTTGCTCACTTGTAGAGGAAATTTATTTCCCTCGACCTGCACTGTGTTACTCTTTTCATATACAGATATACATAGAGTCTCAAAAAAAAATCTGTACAATACTGCGAAAATCTCACAAAACCTGTCAAGATCACGTTTGGGTCACATTTGAAAAAGTATGAAATCATTTTATACGTTTTATTTTCATTGCAGAGTGTGTGTATGTGTATTTTTTTTCGCGATTAAAATTAGCCCAAACCAAATGATATTCATTGTAATATTGTATTATGAACCTATGAATATAATATAAATGTGTTTCTTTGAAGCAATATACAGTTTATTTTTTTCTTTGATTTTGCAGTTTTGTGAGATTCATCTAATCTTTCTTTATGTGTATGTGCAGGCCTTTGTGCTCTTTTGTTGTTAAACATGTTAGTGTGTGTACTGTGTTTGCAGGTGTGTGTGATATTGTTCTATATGAAAGACTGTTTATGTGTCTGCTGGCATTCCTTCATATGCTTAGACCATTCAGCTTGGCACATATAAAATGTGCTTGCAAAGAACCTAGATATTTATTGTTAATAATAAGGATTACATATTATGCCACTTTATGGCAATATTTTGCAGATTCAAAGTCATAAAGTATATGATAGTCCTCATCTATGCCAGGAGCTGACATCTGCTTCTGGCTGTTTTATCTTCATATCCGTCTTTAACTGTCCCTGTGTTAGATGTTAGGTTACAGTATGTCATGCTATGTTTGTGTCTGTTTATAAACGCAAACCCAGGATCATTTCTGGAGTAGAACACATTCTGAGGTAAGCTGAGAGTAGGTGGAATTTGTCCCTATAGTGCCATCTCCCACATCACCCCCCCAAAAAATAAAGATTTTAGTTATGCCACTAAAATCTAATTTAGCCTAATCAGGATACTTGGTGTTCTCGGTAAATCTCTTTTCATGGTTCCATGCTGCATATCATATTAAAAACTATGGAGTACCAGCAATATATGTGAACTGAAAGGTCCTTTTATGCTCTCTATCAGTGAGAGTTTGAGACATTTTTTTGGGTAACAATTTTTTTTATTTTGTTGTGTGTTTGAATCTGGTTGTGTGAAACAGGACTCCAGTCAGATTGGTCTGTTGAAGGAGCTTCTGGATCTGCAGAAGGACATGGTGGTGATGCTTCTCTCTCTATTAGAGGGTAAGAAATATCTGTCCATCAAATTTAACTGTAATCTGTAAAGTCATTTAAAGGATTAGTTCATTTCCAGAATAAAAAGGTTCTGATAATGTATTCACTCCCATGTCATCCAAGATATTCATGTCTTTCTCACGGAACTGACTAAAAAATTAAGGTTTTTGAGGAAAACATTCCAGGATTTTTCTCCATATAGTGGACTTCAATGGTGGCCAACGGGTTGAAGGTCTAAATTGCAGTTTCAGTGCAGCTTCAAAGGGCTCTACACGATCCCAGTCAAGGAATAAGGGTCTTATCTAGCGAAACTAATGGTTATTTTCTGAAAATAAAATGCTTGTCTTGTCACATTGGAAAGGTCACACGTGACACAGGCAGAAGTACAGCCCAGTGTTTACAAAGCGAACGTGCAAAGAAAGTCAAACGTCCTTTACAAAAAAGGTAAAACGATGATGTCGGACAATTTTGAAGTTGGAGGAGAAAATGAGATGGAGTTTTTCGCCCTACCCTAACTTTTTGAACCGAAGTACCAGTGTTAATTTCGTTGACGGATAATTTTCGTCATAATTTTCGTCAACGACATTTGTTTCGCCGACGATAACGAACTAAAACTCTTTTTGAATGACAAAAACTATGACGTTAATCTATTGACATTTTCGTCAATAAATAAAAACGAGACAAAAACGTAAGGGAGGAACGATTTGGGAAGAGATTCATTCAGAACGAATCTGCTGTGTGGTTCCAATCTCCGTGGTTCGGAGGTTAGATGCGTACATATGAACAGGCGGGACATAAGCTAACATACACTTGCTGCACGTCGCATAAAACGTTCAAAAAATTTCAATATGTGGGAGGAAGGGAAGAGCAGACATATGGATAAATCTAACGACGCAAGAGAGAACTCAATTCGGTCTGGTTTTCTGAGTGCAGACACTGAAGCATACACACACAGAAAGCACGTCTCACGCGCTGCGAGTACTCTTTTGCATCACATGAATGGAGAATTACACACAAAATGATGTCGAATTGTCCGTTTTGACAAGTATTCACGTAAACACAGTTGATTACGTCTTAAGTGAACGTAAACAGTAGGGAGAACGTGTATCAGTACATTGCATCCATTGCAGCTGTGCATTCATTTTAAAGGGATAGCAGCCTAATTTTCCGAGTCATTGATGTTAATCAAGCAGCAAAAGAAAGACAGAAAATCACGCACTGCTCTTGACTGAAAAACTTGTAAGTAGCCCTAAAGATTAATTTAAATGTATTTATAGAAATAAATATGTCTGCTTGAAAGAATGAAGAATATGGTAAACAAGTTGCTATAAAGAATGCATAATTAGCCTGTATAACCATTGGTGTTTCATTAAAAAGAAGACCATGTTCTTGTTCTGAATAAGAAGTGGTTTTATTTAATTTTAACATAAAGGCATGTAGTGTGTCGCCGCAGTTAAATCAGTGTATATCATGATAAAACCTTAATATCAAACCTATATAATGATTTTAGAGAAATGCTTAATAAATGCACTGTAACTAAACCCACTAGATTTTAGCCGACTAAATTTACTGTAGATTTAGTCAACTAAAATCTTATGATATTTAGTCGACAAACTAAAAACAATTCAGATGACTAAAATATGACTAAAACTAAATGGCATTTTAGTCAAAAGACTATGACTAAAACTAAATCAAAATTTGCTGTCAAAATTAACACTGCGAAGTACACAGACAAAGAACTAACATGCGTGACCTTTCCAACCTGATTACGTAATGTGTAAAGTCATAGACGCACATTGCAGAGCTAGTGCAAGACAAGCATTTGTGGTTAAAATGTATATACATTTTAATTTTTTTTTTAGAAAATGAAAGATCATTTCGCTACATAAGACCCTTATTCCTCAGGTGGGATCATGTAGAGCCCTTTGAAGCTGCATTAAAACTGCAGTTTGGACCTTCAACCTAGTGGCCGCTATTAAAGTTCACTATATGTAGAAAAATCCTGGAATATTTTCCTCAAAAAAACTCTTTGTGACTGAAGAAAGAAAGACTTGAATATCATTGATGACATGAGGGTGAGTAAATTATCAGGAAATGTTTTATTCTGGAAGTGAACTAATCCTTTAAGTCATGATCTATAGCCTATTTTTTCTTGTATTATTACAGGTAACATTGTGAATGGCACAATCGCTCGCCAGATGGTTGACATGCTGGTTGAGTCATCCAGCAACGTAGAGATGATTCTCAAGTTCTTTGACATGTTCCTCAAACTGAAGGACATTGTGGCATCGGATGCCTTCCGTGACTATGTGACGGACCCTCGTGGCCTTATCTCCAAGAAAGACTTCTCCAAGGCTATGGACAGTCAGAAGCAGTACACTCCATCTGAGATCCAGTTCCTGCTGTCTTGCTCTGAAGCCGATGAGAACGAGATGATCAATTTTGAGGAGTTTGCCGATCGCTTCCAAGAACCAGCCAAAGACATCGGCTTCAACATTGCTGTGCTACTCACCAACCTGTCTGAGCATGTTCCTCATGACACTCGCTTGCAGAACTTTTTGGAGCAAGCTGAGAGTGTGCTCAACTACTTCCGACCCTTCCTGGGCCGAATCGAGATCATGGGTGCTGGCAAGAGGATAGAACGTATCTACTTTGAAATCAGCGAGGCCAACCGCAACCAATGGGAGATGCCTCAGGTCAGAGAGTCAAAGCGGCAGTTCATCTTTGATGTCGTCAATGAGGGTTGTGAGTCTGAGAAGATGGAGCTCTTTGTGAACTTCTGCGAGGACACCATTTTTGAGATGAACATTGCCTCGCAGATCTCAGAGCAGGAAGAGGAGGTGATCGAAGATGAGGATGAAGAAGATGAGGAGGAGAGCAGTGGTGGCAGAAATGGAGAGGGTGAAGGAGAAGAAGGGAATGGAGAAGCAGCACCACCTGAATCCAGCTCAGCCTTTGCAGACTTCATCAAGAGCGTAATGAACTTCATCAGCCTCTTTACTTTCCGCAATCTCAGACGCCGTTACCGCAAAATCAGGAAAATGACCATAAAGGACATGATTGTTGGTCTGGTCATGTTCCTCTATACTGTCCTCTTTGGCATCCTGCACTTCATCTACAGCATCTGCAGAGGTTTCTTCATGCTCATCTGGAACACTCTCTTCGGAGGAGGTCTGGTGGAGGGAGCTAAGAAGATGACGTTGACAGAGATCCTGACTAACATGCCCGACCCAACTCAAGATGAGGTGCACGATGACCTTCCACCTGAGCCAGGAGCAAGAAAAGTACAAGAATCAGGTGGAGCTGGTGAGGGAGAGGAGGGAACAGGAGGAGAGGAGGAAGCAGAAGAAGGAGAAGAGGATGATGGTGGAAGACCTGGTTTTGGTCCTCACGGCGGTTTAGGAGATATGGGAGAAACTGAGCCAGAGGAGCCTCCGACTCCAGAAGGCAGCCCACTGCTGAAGAGGAAGCTGGTGAGAAGAAGAGTTTTGCATTTGTAGTCTAAAGATGTTATCTTTGTTCGGTGAATTTTCACAGGCGAAATCCAATCATTTTAGTAGGAATTAGTCGGGAATTACTTGGTCAGGAGAGGGTAATGTGAGGGTAAAATATTTCCCTACAGTTTCCCAGTGGTTATAAGTTGAGCACATGGATATCTGTGACTTCTGTGTGAGTGGTGCTTCATACGTACATCACAACACTGTAGACAATAGACTATGGACCTTTTTAACCTGTGAAATTTTGCCTTAAGAGTGAACATCCCTCATCACGTTTCCACATTGTTCTCCTTCTGTTTGTCAAATATAGTGGTGCTTCTTGCTTTGTAGACTCATAATCGAAATCTCGTAGTCTACATATTCTTCTCCTGTGGGTATTTCAGGTGAGTGAAGAAGGAGAGGGAGAAGCAGTAGAAGAGGAGAAAGTAGAAGAAGAAGCAGCCCCTGAACCCGAAAAAGCAGAGTAAGTAATGGAAATCAAATTATCAACGACTTTCATTGGTGAAAGTCATATTCATCACATTATAAACATTTGTTGCTTTGACTTATCCTTCTGTCCATCAAAGTGCTGAAAATGGAGAAAAGGTCGAGAAGGAGGCAGAACCTGAGCCAGAGGAAAAAACAGATGAAGAGCAAGAGGAGAAAAAAGCAAAGGCTAAAGCAAAGAAAGGCAAGAAGCAAGAAAAAGAGGGCTTTGAACTCTGGAATGAACTTGAAGTCCAAAGAAACAAGTTCATGGTAATTACAGTTATTTATCTACAGTATATACATCTTTCACAGTCATGTAGAATGAATGTATGTTGATTCATGTTTAATTCAATTATATTATGTTACATTATATTATTCATATTTTTCATTCATTACTTTTGATTCTGACTGCATCTAAAAGGTAATCCACTTTCTCTTCTAGAACTATCTGTCTCGCAATTTCTACAACCTGCGCTTCCTGGCTCTCTTCATCGCCTTTGCACTCAACTTTATTCTGCTCTTCTACAAGGTCAGTATGATGATAAAACAGGGCTTTTCAAAATTAAGTATTGGGAGCACCACAGGGCCATAAGGGTGGTCTGTGAATTTTTATTTGATTTATTATTTATTTTGCATTTTTAGTTAACTTTTTTTTTTTTTTCACATTCACCAGCTTTATTATGCATTCTACAGACTGGTCATCGAGGGGTTTAATTGCAATTTAACAGCAAAAAATAAATAAATAAATTGAACCCCTGCAATAAAATACTTTACAGCCATGTGATTTGCTTTCATTTGTTTCAAGAACAAATTTGACTGAAGCTAGCCATTCCTCCTTAGGTATCTGCCAGCCCACGTGGAGAAGAGGAGGAGTTTGAGGGTTCGGCTATGTTTGATGGTTCTGGTGTATTTGAGGGCTCTGCTGTGTTTGAAGGCTCTGGTGTGTTTGAGGGCTCTGGGATCTTTGAGGGCTCTGCTGGAGAAGCCGAAGCTTCTGGAATGGAGGAGAATGGAGAGGAAGATGAGGAAGAAGGGTTTGTCTACTTCTTCCTGGAGGAGAGCACTGGATATATGGAACCCGCTATGGCCTTCTTCTCTATCTTACACTCCATAATTTCCTTCCTCTGTATCATCGGCTACAACTGTCTGAAGGTCAGGAGCCCTGGATTCTGTCACTGGAGTCACTCGATTCTGTCATCATTCCCTCATGTCATTTCAAACCTGTATGACTTACTTTCTTTTGTGAAACATGAAGACATATTTAGTAGAGTGTCAATGCTGCTCTTTTCCAAACAATGAAAGTATTAAATGATCACAGAAAGGACCAAAAAGTACCCATGAAGTGTCATAAATGTGGTCCATACACATGTAAACTATACCATATATTCTTCTGAAGCCTTCAGTCGTGTATTGAGTAAATGATGACAGAAATGTCATTTTGAAGTGAAATATTTATTTTCATTTGGTTAAGCTAGTGTGAGCTGCTAACGTTTTCGCATATGTGTAGGTTCCTTTGGTCATCTTTAAGAGAGAGAAGGAACTGGCCCGTAAACTGGAGTTTGACGGTCTGTACGTAACTGAACAACCAGAAGATGACGACATCAAGGGCCAGTGGGACAGACTTGTCCTCAATACACCGTAATACTACTACATTATTATTATTTATACATTTATAAGCAAACATCCCTGTGAAGACTCTGCGATCTGTAATTCCCTTTTATTCTCAACTCAGGTCTTTCCCGAACAACTACTGGGACAAATTTGTGAAGAGAAAGGTCAGGAGCGTACTATGCTTGTGTGTGTAGATGTATTGAGAGATGTCGGTGACTGAGCGTGTCTACGGTGTGTCTGTATTGTAGGTGCTAGAGAAGTATGGCGATATCTACGGTAGAGAAAGAATCGCTGAGCTGCTCGGCATGGATCTAGCATCCCTTGATGTCAGTGCTATGACACACGAGAAGAAGCCTCAGATTGATCCCTCAATGTTCACATGGTACAGAAAGATGCAAAACACACTCATAAGTATCACCAAAATGTCAACAGCCAATACAAGTAACAAAAATAATTAAATAGCACAAAAACGAATATGCCATTAGGTAGGGATGGGAACTGTTCCATTGATGACTTTTGAAGCGGGAATATTTGGAAAGTGAAATTTAGTAGCCAAATGATGAGGAAAGAAAGAAAAAGAAAATTGTAAACTAAATGTATTATTCACTACAATTAGAGTTCACAAAAGCTAATAAAAAAAACTGATTGGGAGCTGTACTACTCTTAATTTTCAAATCACTAAAAAAGTGGCTCAAATGAGTCATTTGCTTGGGAATTGAACTACTCTGGTCAAGCTCATTTTTTGCATTCACTAAAATGAACCTATTCATAAGAACCATTTGTGTCAGATTCAGACATCACTGCTCTTAAACATGATGTAATAACAGGATGGAAATTCTGTTTCTCATTCTAAAATTGAATGAATCCACAGGTTGACATCTATTGATATCAAATACCAAATCTGGAAATTTGGAGTGGTGTTCACTGATAATGTGAGTTTCAGTAAAGACAACACTTTTTCTTAAGTTCTTTCAGTTATATGAGGATATTTATAGCAATGATCATTCATTTGGATTCTGTTTTGCACGTAGACGTTCCTGTATCTGGTTTGGTATCTGGTCATGTCACTGCTTGGCCACTACAACAACTTTTTCTTCGCCTGTCATCTGCTGGACATCGCTATGGGCGTCAAAACCCTGCGCACCATCCTGTCCTCTGTAACTCACAATGGCAAACAGGTACAGCTCTCAGATAACATCATATTTGACTGAGATTTTATAGAAGTCTCTTCCAGATGTAAATGTTAATCTTGATGGTGACTGTGGTTTAGTTGCTGATGACGGTGGGTCTGCTGGCTGTGGTGGTCTACCTCTACACCGTGGTGGCCTTCAATTTCTTCCGAAAGTTCTACAACATGAGTGAGGATGAAGACGAACCGGATATGAAGTGTGACGACATGATGACTGTAAGTGTTTCTCCACACATATCTACATTTAGTTCGATTACACTTTGTCATTTCATGCCTGACTGTGATCATGTCTTCTCTCTCAGTGTTATCTGTTCCACATGTACGTGGGTGTGCGAGCTGGTGGTGGTATAGGAGACGAGATCGAGGATCCAGCCGGAGACGAGTATGAACTTTATCGTGTGGTCTTTGACATCACTTTCTTCTTTTTTGTCATTGTCATCCTGCTGGCCATCATTCAAGGTGAGGAATGTTTTTAGAGAAATTCAGACACTGTGGACAATTTACCACTTTGTAAATTTAATGTTTAAAAAGTTTGGTCATAACATTACGAAATGATGTTTTTGTTGTGTGCAGGTCTGATCATTGATGCCTTTGGTGAGCTGAGAGATCAGCAGGAGCAGGTCCGAGAGGACATGGAGGTACTTTTTTTACATAAAGGAATAGTTTACCCGCAATTGACAATTTGCTGAAAATTGACTCACTCTCAGGCCATTCAAGATGTAGATGAGTTTGTTTCTTTATCAGAACAGATTTGGAGAAATTTATCACTTATTTATTTTTAGCAATTTATTTAAATTTATTTAGCATTTAGCACTTGGAAATAATGGATCCTTTGCAGTGAATGGGTGCCGTCATAATGAGCGTTTAAAACGGTGATAAAAACATCACAATAATCCACAAGTAATCCACATGACTCCGGTGCATCAATTAACGTCTTGTGAAGCGAAAAGCTGTGTGTTTGTAAGAAACAAATCTATCATTAAGGTGTTTAACTTCGAACTGTTGCTTCTGGCCAAAATATGAGTCTATAATAACACTATTCCTTTAATAACTAAAATATACAAAATGTACATGTGAGTCTGTTGCACTGGCATTAACAAACCTCAGTGCAGAAACAATACAAGCTATGATTGGTGGATTATGTGTAGATCAGTAAGTCTCTAAATGGGCACTTTGTTACGGTGGCCCAGTAGTGCACAATACAACAAAATCTCCATTACACAACGGAAACATGCCACAACACAATGAAATTAGCACAACACAACAAAATTAGATCTATGCGTTGTGTTGTGGAGATTTTGTTGTGTTGTGCACTGCTGGGCCACCGTACTTTGTGGCCAGAAAAAAATCAGAAAAATGCTATTTAAACAAGTCATATGACGTTGCTAAAAAATAACATTATTTTGTGTATTTGGTTTAATGAAATGTGTTTATGCGGTTTAAGGTTTAAAAAAACCACATTATTTTCCACATACTGTACATTATTGTTTCTCCTCTATGCCCCGCCTTTCTGAAACGCGTCGATTTTTACAAATCTCATCGGTCTGAAAAGCGAGGTGTATGCTGATTGGCCACCTATCCAGTGCGTTGTGATTGGCCGAATACCTCAAGCGTGTGACGGAAATGTTACGCGCCATGTCCCGGTGCGATGAGACGAAAACATTAAAACCCATTATAAACGAGGCATTTGTAGCATCCAGTGGGGACATAATTACTGATTATAATGACTTATTCTGTCTTTTTACGCATTGCATCGCACCGCGTACACATAAAACCATGTCTGCATTTGTGATCGGAGAAACGACAAACAACAAGCGCTACTCTACACTGCTCAAAACTCACGTTTGAATCGTCATATCAATCATAATTACAGGCTGTGAGTCAGCATTCTTTGTCAGAAAACCGGCATTGTAGGCTACTCTCCCAGGAAACAGTCCTTGTCCTCTGTGCAATGCATTGCCCACACACAAATATTTGGGTTAAACTGTTCTGGAACAGTGTTGTAAATACAACTTAACCACTGATTATTAGTCGTGTCCTCTTTTGGAAGGCCAAACAAAGTAGTTTCGCTTTCACAACGAAACACACAGCGTCTCCACGACATGGTGGTGGCAGCAACAATATGAATGAAAAAGAATGAAAGTTACGCCTTCTTTCTTTGCGTGAACATTTGGGTGGTGTTATGCAAATCTTCCCACACAGTGACGTAGACATGTGGGGGTGTGTTTAAACGAGGCATTTTAGGAGGACGTGGGCAAGTCTAAACTTTTATAAAGAATATCTCTTTGGGTTTGAGACTTTAGTCTTTGCAACATTAGGGATCTTATCTATTCACGAACAGCTTGTAACACTCCAAAGAGAAAGGATAACTTGAAATCGCATCATATTAATTATTTTAATTAAATATTTCCAGCCATGCAAACTATAGCTAGCTGCAAGCTCAGGTAACTTGCTGTAAACATATCTGGTGCATCTGAAATCGCATGCGGTCTACATTTGATAAGGAAAGAACTTTGCATTCGTTAAAAGTGCATTCAATATAGTTTGAATGTGTGTAATGTATAAATGGATGTACTAAATCCACCATGTTGTCATTATCATGTGACTTCACTGACATTCACAAATTCTCTCCGGTGGCCTCATGTCGTAGTAAAGTGACCACTGGATGCACACTTCAGATTCTCTGCGAAAGTAGTGGGTCATCTTTGCCTATTGTTTTATGAATACTGCAATTTCGGACATACCGTATTGACCCGAAAATAAGACGATGTTTTTTTTGGAAATACATCTGAAAAAATGGTCGTCTTATATTCAGGGTCTAGACTTTGACATGTCAATAACACACCCACAACAATAGGTGGCGCCAAATACACATAAAACGAGTGTGCCATGAAATACGTAATGTAATGCGTGTTGTAAAGATCGTGAGTAAAAACAAAAGAATAAGAAAACCTTACAGCTGCATGAGTCGTGATTGTCACGTTAGCCTGATGGGACCAAACTCCCTTTGTGATTTTAAAACGTAAGACAGTACCCAGATTTGAAGACTACAGTAAGATTTAACTTCTACTGTTAATAAGATTTTGGTAGGCTACTATTAGATGGATAGCCTAAATGTCCTAATTCAGATGGGCTACCTGTTTTTTCTTAGTTTTTTTTAATGGTATATCAAAAAGTGTATATTTTTTAAATGTGATTGTTGGTACATTTTACCAGTTTTTACCATACTTTCAAAACAAAAATTAAAATAGGAAAAATATGCAATATGAAAATAATTGAAGACAAAATGTGTTTTACTGAGAAAAAACCAGATTTGTTTTTTAAAAAGCCTTTTTCCAAAAGGTACATCTGGAAAAAGGGGGGTCGTCTTATGATCAGGGTCGTCTTATATTCGGGCCAATACGGTACTATTCATTTCGCATACTGTTTTTCGGCTATGGTATAGTAAGGAAGTAGGCATGTTCTGATGCAAGGATCAACATTAACTAGCTTTCTCAGCGAGATTCTATTTAAACTGTTGACAGAAGTTGACGTTAAAGGAGAAAACTGACTGTAGAAGATGTTTTTGCTAATGTGTGCCATAACGCCCCTTGTGACAACTGCTGAGAATGAAATATGTAATTGTCTTGCATTATGGATTGTGGTTTTAAAATTAAGATATTTTTGTTTTGTTTTGTTCTTTCAAAGACTAAGTGTTTCATTTGTGGAATTGGAAGCGACTACTTTGACTCGACTCCGCATGGCTTCGAGACGCATACGATGGAGGAGCACAATTTAGCCAACTACATGTAAGTGTTTTGTTTATTCGGAAACAACGAAAGCTAATATTTGGTTCCTTATTTTGAAACTATGTTTTTTTCTGCCATATAGGTTCTTCCTGATGTATTTAATCAATAAAGATGAAACGGAGCACACTGGACAGGTCAATGTTGTTTTATTCTTATCACTGTCCAAAAATGTCTTTCTGAAACAAACAAATAAAAAACTTTGCATCTAAGATAGACATTATAAATATATACACTACCAATCAAAAGTTTGGGTTGATAAGGTTTTTTTATGCTTACCACGGCTGCATTTATTTGATCAAAATGCAGTAATGTTGTGAAGTATTGCATTTCCATTTTTATATATTTTTTTTAAATGCAATTTATTCCTGTGATGGTGAAGCTAAATTTTCAGCAGTCATCACTGTCACACAGAAATATGCTAATTTGGTGCTCAAGAAATGTTTCTAATTATTATCAGTGTTGAAACAATTGTGCTTCTTCATGTTTTTGTTGAAACCATATTGACATGACATTTGTTTTCATGGTTTGATTAACAGGAATTTAAAAGAACAGTATTTATCTTTATCTCATTATGCCAATTATACAGTATATTAACATTATAAATGACTTTCCTTTCCTTTTTGATCAGTTTAATGTGCCCTTGCTATTAATTTCTTCAAAATTTTACTGACCCTAAAATTTGAACAGTAGTGTGTATATATTCAAATAAAATAAAAAATAATAATAATCATTTTAATTTTCTCCGTATTTTGCTGAATTTTGCTCTCTCTTTCTAGGAGTCCTATGTATGGAAAATGTACCAGGAGCGATGCTGGGACTTCTTCCCAGCTGGTGACTGTTTCAGGAAGCAATATGAAGATCAACTTGGCTAATTCTACAGCCTTGAAAGTGTGTGTTTGTGTACAATTTTATTTCAGGAATGAGGGTCAAAGAGGAAATTGTGAAAAATAGGAAGGGAACAAGAGATAAAAGACCGACTGTAGCCTTGATTTGACTCTCACAACCCTCATCTTTAGCCAACACATCACACAGACCACACAAACCCACTCATAATACTAAAACCCTTTGATTTCCCTGTTTGACTAAACACGAGAGAAAAAGAGCTAAGACTGAGCATCAAAAGAACGTTTTTTAAACTGTATATACACACTACATGGCCTTTACCTATCCACTAAGGACTTTTTAAATCACATCAAACCAAAATGAACAAACACCCCTAAACAAAGCCTTCTTTTCCTCTCTGTTTTGTCTGTCACTATCAATCTAAAAAATCTCAGTGCCTAATGTTAAATCTTAACAGTAGTGAGGATTTAAGTGTGATTTTATTGATAGTCCGTAGTGATCTTTTTATGTGTAGAGTAGCTGTCTAGATCTTTTAATTTTAGCATATATAAATAAAGCTTTATTTATGTTTATTTATTCACGTATACCACAGAAATATAGCCATATGAGTGGTAGCATCCTGCTCTGTGACTATACAGAGCATTTTGACAAATATCAAGCCAGGCTTTTTCCCTGGCGCATCGAGCGAATGTGAGAATGCATGCAACCGAAATATCTTAATACCATTTTATTCTCGAGAGGAAAGTATTACAACCCCGGTATTTCTCTCCCGCCTCTGTTTCAAGTTTCAGAGAATTACGAATGGTCTCTTGAGAAGTTTTAACTTTGTAAAAATGTGAAACCACCTGTTTTGCACTCTAGAGTCTTATAATGGGACGCTGTATCCATGCCAAGCACACACTTCCATGGAGTCCTGCTACACACTGCTGTATTACTAATATAGAGAGGTGGAGAGAGTTTGTGGGTCATTCGTTTTATTAAAAACATCCTCTCTAGATTTACAAGACCATGTCCTTTTACTCTGATTATGGGAAAGAAGTACTATCATGACTATATGCACAGTATTATTTATGTTGCTATACTGTCAGTTAAGACATCGACGTGAACTATGCTGTGCCATTCAGATAGCAAGACTCTAACTTCATTTATCCACTTAAATACATAGATGATATATTTTTGTTGGAGATCTAAATAATTAAGATACTCTGAACTCATTGTGTCACAAGTGAGTATTTATTATGTACCTTTTT